AAAAAAAATACAGGGTGGAGATGTAGTTCAGTTATAGAGTATGCTCAAAGCCCTGGAATCAAGGGGCCTGCCGGTTAACTCAGTTGTTTCAGTGCCTGCTCATGCAAACACAGTCAGGCACAGGATACCACAGTTCGATCCCCACCTCCATCTGCCTTAGCAGACCTGCCCTTAAGGCAGGCTGAGCCATCCAAAAAAAAGAAATCCTTCTCAAAGCCCTGGGGTTGATCCCAACATAAAAAAGGAAAAATATATTCAGTCACATTTTAAAATACTTGGAAACGACCACACAGAATGTGAAACTTCAGAAGTAGTTGATGGGTAGAAATACAGTTTTTTTTTTTCAGTACTAGGAATTGAACTCAGGACCTTGCACTTGCCAAACAGGTACTTGTGCCACTGAGCTAAATTACTGGCCCAGTACAGTTTTCTTTTAAAATACAATTCTGCAATCCAACACCTTCAAATGAAGTTGTTTCATTTTCTTAATCTAGTTTTAACACAGAGAGAGCAAAATCAGATCACGCTTATTACAAGATAATTACAAGTTTTATTATAACATAATGCTTTCATTCTTAAATCCTGTGCACCATCAGTAGTGGGCCTGGGATTTAGGGTCCTGGACGTTAAGTGAAGAACGTGGAAGTCCCCACCAACTTGCCTTCTCTCTCTCTCTGGAATTTCTTTGATGGCTATTTGCGTTTGACCACTCAGTTCTACGCCAGCATACACAGTTCCATAGGTGCCTCTTCCCAAGACAACTCTCTCCCCATTTACATCATGGTCATATTCATGCTAAAACATGAAAAACACAGGAACAATAAAACCCCTTCATATAACATGAAGTGAAGAAACAAACGCTCCAGAAGTTCAAAAGTTATCTAGAAATTTTTATAAAATTTATAAATATTCCTTGAATACTAAACAAGTCATGGTTCTCAGATTATATGCCTTTCCCTCAATAATGACTCTCAGTGGTTCATGTGTTTACATAGCCTTACCCCATGAAATGGAAACCAAGAAAATTAAGACTACCAATCATATAGAACTTACCTTGCTCACGTTTTAGAGATTGCTTTCCATGTTAATGCTGTAATTCAAAACCTTTTCTAAGCATGTTTAGTATTCCAAATAGTGTCCCTGTCAATTTGGCAAGAAGCAAACCTCTTTCAATATCCCAGGAAAGAACTGAAGGTTGCTATACTTGTCTTAATACAGAGACATATGTTGGATCTCACCCCCTCATTCAGTAATAGAAAATATAAAAAAAGAAAGTGAAAATAGACTTTCAGACCTTAAAGACACCATTGCAACTAGTGAAAAAGTAAGAAAAGATCTCTTAAAAACAACTAGAATGCAGGAAAAAATAATTCAACATCTGCAAGACAATGCAAAGATGAACAATGTAAGACTAATAGGCATCAATGAAAAAGGAATCAATACAAATGATATAAAAAGAATATGGATGGAAGTAATAGCAGAAAACTTCTCAAATATGGGGAAACAATCTGACATTCAGTAACTGAAGCATATAGAACTCCAAATAACATCAATCCAGTTAAAACCACACCCAGACATATAATAATCAAGATCCCAGAAATTCAGCACAAGAACAGTATACGAAAACCCACTAGAGAAAAGAAACAGATCACATTTAAGAGGAAACCCATCAGAATAATGGCAAATTTCTCTCCCCAAACCATCAAGTCAAGAAGAGCATGGAGCAAAGCACTTCAAGTCTTGCAAGAAAACAAATTCCAACCTAGACTGATATACCCTGCAAAACTCTCTTTCAAGTTTAATGGAGAGGGGCCAGGGAGATGGCTCAGTAGAATAAGCACTTCCCTGGCAAGCGCAAGGGCCTGAATTTAAGCCCAGGTTCAGAAAAAAAAAAGTTTAATGGAGAAGTGAAATACTTCCATGACAAAGAACAATTAAAGAATTTCATGACAACAAAGCCAACCCTATATAGACAACTAAAAGATATTCTAGAGAGGGATCAAAATGACCACAACTCCATGAATGAGAACAGAAAGAACCTCCCAAAATAGGGTGAACAATTAAACACAGGAGAAAAAGAGGTATATAACAGCAGTCTTTCAATTATTCTTTTGCATACAGCAGCAAAATATTTCCATAAGCATACTCTACAAACGGACTTCTCCGGTATGCTATGGGTCATGATTCTCTCTGGGTCTACAGGGTGGATATCAAGGAAATAGCAGTAGCTCAGTCCCACAAGTGACACCTCGCCACCAGTAAGTGTCATGGATACTGTCCAGGTCCACCACATACTAGAACTTTGTGCAATATTCTATGCCTAAACTGTTAGAAGTGCTGGTCATTTGTTTGCCATTCCAATATTTATCTTATGTTTTATTCTTAGTAATTCTTTACTATCATGAAAACTTTTTCTTAGTTCAATTGTTTTGAAACATTTTTTAATTAATTAATATTTAATTTTCTAAATATTGCTTAATTTTAATTTTTAAGATTTATATTGTATCTTTGACTTACAATCTATGTAAAAGACATGGCATGATATTTTCTCCTAGTATTAGAAACTTTAAAAAGCATATTTCCATTTTCCATTGACCTTATATTACTTCTTGTCTGTTATACACACACACGAAAAAAATATGTGTATAACCCAACATAAGATTGATACCCTTAATGACCTTTTAAATGGGCTCATCTAATATATTTTACATAGTCCTGCATAACTATCATTTAGAGAGCTCTTTATTCTTTATCCAGGAACATATAGCAACTTCTCTTGCCTTCTGAATTATGGTCTTCGTTATTTCCTATATGCTATGTCTGCAGGTATTAGAATATTTCGAGTTTGTATAACTGGAAAATAATTTACTTTTAGTTTTCAAAGGCTTGTTTGCTAAGTATAAAATTCAAAGAGGGCAGTTTTTTTCTTTCAGTTCTTTAAATTAATTAGTCTAGTTTCTTATACACTTGGTTTTTTGTTTTTCTTTCTAATGTGGAATAAGATGCTATTTAATTTTGTTCTTCCATAGCTAATATTTCTATGTATATTATTTAATGATTTTTTCTTTACAATAAGTTTTGGACAATTTCATTTTTGTGTATCTTGGTATGATTTTATTCAAATTTCTTTTGCAAAAGGTTCACTGTTCTTGGAAATGCGGTATTATAAGTTGAACTAAATACAGAAATTTTATATCTTTACATATTTATTGCCTACCCCTTTCTACTTTGAGAATTCTAATTATATGAATATAAGTTTCTTGATTTTGGCACAGAGTGAACTATTATATGACTGATTTGTAAATTCTTTCTTCTTCATTTTTATTTTGGACAATTTTTATTGTTATATTCATTTAAATTTGTAAATAATTTATTTACAATGTGCACTCTATTATCAATCTTATGCTATGTATTCATTTCAGAAATATTTCTCTAAAATTCATTGTTTACATTTTATATCTTTCACATTTCAATATTTGTCTACAATTTTTAATATGCTATGTAATTGTTGATCTTCAATAAAGTTAATGAAAAAGATAAAAGTATCTTCCAAAAAAAAGAAAGAAAATGTCTGCTTCTTCTATACTCTTCATAAATACTATCAGCCTAAAACTTTTTCACAGGTTGTCCACAAAAGAAAATGGTAGCCTGATCCATGGCATCATTTTTCTTAAAAATTCTGACTAAAATGATCTCAAGGCAACGAGATTTCTCTATAGCATTATGCTAGTCTCTAACAGCTGTGGGTGGTGATAGCTGCCTAGTTCAGAAATTAGTATTTTTAAATATGCTCAATAAAAGATTTTTACATGAAAATTGGGACATTTACTTTAAACATGAAAAATAGAACAAGTAACTTTCCAAGTTCTAGGCCTTCTTTGACTTACGTCTATTGAGTCTCCATCAATCCCTATGTCCAGCTCCGTTGCAGGGTCTACTGAATCAGTTAGCATTGCTTTGACGAAATAGCAAAATCTAGAACAAAAAATGTCAAAAAGATGTTGACCGTTAGGATCACTCTTGTTCTTCACCTTTAACTTAGCCTCATAAAATCAGTGATGCTGAACCTTTTAGAGCTTTCAGTGATGAAAACAGCTTGTCACCACTATATGAAATGTACTGAAATATAAGTCAATCATTTACAAGTCATGGAACATTCAATTCACTTCTTGAATTAACATGGTGATCTAGTATTTATCTAATGTAGGCCCAACACCTGTGAGGTATTTGAATTTTCTGTACACACTACCTCCACCACCTATGGACAACAATAATGCTCAGCACCTCCAACAACAGAATACCTGTTATCTCTCAAAGGCAGTTCATCCCTTGAAGAACTCAATAAAAAATGTTTTCCTCTTTATTGACCTGAAAATTTCTTTTATGTGGGTTCCATTTATAGACTGCTTGGAGTCAACCCCTTTTGTGTTTATGTACCACATTTTCCTCAGTCATCAGCTGATGGACACTTAGGTTGTTTTCATGTCTTGGTTATTGTGAATATGCTGCAATAAACATGGGAGTACACATATCTCAGACAGATTTTAGTTCAGAGTAGAAAAATGGTTACCAATGGCTGGAGAGAGGAGCAAGAACAGAGGGATGGGGAAAGTTGATCAGTAGGGACAAAGTTATAGTTAGATGGAAGACATCCTGGTGTTATACTGCAGAGTAGGGTGACTATAGATAAGAGTAATGTTCCAGAAGAAAGGATTTTGAATATTTTCACCACAGAAAAGTGGTAATTGAGAAAAATGAATTTACTCCGATTGTATCATACAATGCACACATGCTTCAAACATCACAGGATACTCAATAAATAAATTTATGTTATGCATCAGCTAAAATAAAATGATAAATTTTTAAAGAATTAATCCTTTTTCTGTATAACAATACCCATTAACAATTACATAACTTTTATCATGTCATTCTAAGTCTTCTTATTTCTTTACTGTTTCCTTTAGGACTCATAAGTCACTCCATTAACAGTTAATTTTTCAAATATGTCCCTGTTATTCTTTAGGTCTGGCCCTGATACTAGCACTCCAGGGGTGGCCTATTTAGTGCTAAGAGCAGAAGGACTATCCCCTCTCAAGCTGCAGACAATGCAGTTATCAACGAGATAGAAGATCTTTTGAAACTGCATAAGGTTGCTACATTATCATGATGACAGAGATTAAGCCTAATATTAACCATTATTCTTAAGTGTTTCTCACATATGCTATTGAGCCACACTGGCCAATCGCTAGACTGTTACATTGTTTATTTGCATATAAATGTGACTTTGCAAAAATTTTTTATTCAGGATTTTCTCTCAAGATGGCAGGGGAGAATACTGTCCATTTTAGAATAATTTACACAAAACATTAAAATAATCTTTTTCCTAACTAACTCATCCTACCCTTTCTGCTAGCATTTGAACACTGGAAAACTCAGTAGTTTGGAATTTTAGGAGATACATGACATGCAATCACCAGAATAACTAAAATTTAAAAGATTAGATTATTTGATGTTTAATTTTATGGAGCAACTGAAACTCTCATACAGTGCTGGTAGGGGTATAAATTCGTGAGACTACTTTGGAAAACTGAGAGTATTGACGAAAGCTAAATACAAACCTGATGTATATAACCCAGTACTCCTCTCCCAAGTATATACTCAACAGAAATCAATATTGTATATATGTTCAACAAAAGGCATCTAAAAGAATTTTCACAGCAATTTTATTCACAATAGTCCCAAACTATAAATAATCCAAATGTTTATCAATGAAATAACAGATAAATTGTCACATACTTATACAATGGAAAACCACAAAAATATGAAAAGAGTGAACACATACACATATCATAGTTGAATTGCACAGCTACTATTTTAAGAAGGAAAATAATACAAATATTTGATTCTCTAAAAAGAAAGAAAAGAAAAATAACCACAAGATGTGAAAAAGCAATAATGTAATAATATGTTAGCTGTAAAAGGTTCAAATCACTACCAACTTCTGACAACTGCCAGCTGTACTGGTAACTCACTACTATTATGCACTATTGGGCTTTATAGGGTTAAATTGCTGCATACAAGTACCAAAATCATAGGACTGGCATCAAGAAAGAAAAGGTCTTCTAAAGAGTTCTCCAAACACAACTTTTCCAGATGCAATGGAAAACACATCATTCATACAGCAAAACAAAAAGGCAGATATGCTGGGAGCCACTGAAGCTGGAAATTGGTCACATGTATGAGAACAGAGCTAGGCCTCAGTGCCTACTGTAGTCAAGCTACCTCAGTCCTGAGAAAAGCATCCTGCCTGGTTAATGTCAACTGTTAGTCACTAGGCAATCTTGTGTCACATGATACTAACCTGGCAAAGCTATAAATAAAAGCATGAAGATGAAATATAGGAAGTAAAGCCATGCTGTTATGTTGAGCTGTGGGGGACTCAGGTCAATAATTTCTGACATTGCCAGTTAAACGGAAGACCCAATGCTATTATGGGCTACTACACTCTTTTAGAATATTTTGCTGAGTTTACACACCTATAATATTCAATAACGGAACTTAGAAAAAATGGGGTATGCCGACGAATGTCCATTTTGTATCTGTGTATTCAAAGTGGTTAGGATAGATATATAGTTGCATTCTCTGAATGAATAGAATGATTTGTTCTAATGGTGTTTGTAAATAGGATCTCAAGTCCGCATCTTGTACAGCAATTAACCACTAAGAAGAATATATGCAGTGTGTTATTTGTTGAATCTGTACTTCCGATTTGATTTGAAATTGTCTCATTGCTATCTGTTTATCAATAAAATTTTGAAAAAAAAAAGCCCCAACTGCTGTTTTGGGGGTCAAAACAAAAACCAAAAAAAAAATTGATTCTCTTTCTAAAAAACAAGCAAAACTAATCATGGTGACAGAAATCAAAATAGTTATAACTGGAGTGGTTTTAATGACTGGAAAAGAACACAAGGCATCTTCTGGGGATGATGATCTTGGAGACAACTACCTACATGTAGATGTAAATTTTTATCTGACTGTACTCCTATGTGCGCTTTATATAATTTACTTGTATGTGTACTACATGTCAATTAAAAATTATTACATCAACAAAACCAAACATGGTAGCATGTACCTGTAATCTCAGAACTCTGGGAGGCTGAGGCAGCAAGAATGATAATTAAGCCCAATCTGAGCAACGAAGGAAGACCCTGTGTCAATCTAAAAAAGGACTGGAGATGTACCTCAGTGTGAAGACATCAGTTTTAATCCCCAGTACCAAAAACCTATGACCAAAAAAGCACTGAGATACTAAATGAGGGTCAAAAAGGTGAACTTTTTATCAAAAGGATGCTATGCCTCATATGTGCAGGCATTTTTTCCCCTATTCTAAATCAAAGCGTTCCCTAGTCTGATATTATTCTGATTAAGTATGTTGTGATAATGATTATCTGAGACATAATGAGTTAAAATTTGCTAAGATGATATAAACACTCATACTAGGAATAAAAGAACTCCCTCAACCCAATAAAGGCTATCTAAGAAAAACAGGCTGATAACATCATACTTAATGAGGAAATCCTTGCTTCTTTCTCCTTTAGATTATAAACTAGATAAGGCTATCTACTCTCATCACTTTTATCCCACATTATATAGGAAATTCCAACAATAGTAATTAGGCAAAACAAAAACAAAAACAAAAAAAGGCATCTAAGCTGGTAATAAAGAATTCAAACTGTATCTGCAAACAACATAATCATACAAAAAAAAGTAAGAAATTCAGTGAAATTAGAATAGGTTCTTCAAAGTTTCAGGTTACAAAATCAACATACAAGGGTCATATTTCTTAAACACTAGAAATAATCCAAAAGTGAAGTTAAGGAAACAATTCCACGTACAACAGCATCAAAGGAATAAAGTACTTAGTTATATGCTGGACAGAATACATGCAAGACTACAAGTCTGCACTGAAACAATGAAATACTATTGAAAAAAATTAAAGTCTAAATAAATAAAAAGACATTTTATGTTCATGCATTAGAAGGCAACATGAGAATATGGCAATGCTCCCAAACTGATCTAGATAGCCAACACGCTTCCTGAGAATTTTAGCTTTTTCTCTCAAATTGACAATCTGACTCTAAAATACAATCTTGAAGAAGATGAACAAAGCTGGAAGACTCACATTTCTTGGTGTTACAGCGTTTTAAACTTACTATAATCAAAGGATAAATAAATTCCTAATGATTAACTGATATTCTAAGACTTCCAAGATCATTCAGTGGGGGAAAGAAGTCTTTACAACAAATGGAACTGAAACAATCACAAATTCATGTGCAAAAGAATGAAATTGGATTCCCCACCTCATACTACATTTAAAAAATAAAACATGGATTAGGGACATAAATATGAGCTAAAATTATAAAAACTCTCAGAAGAAAACATAAAATCTATTGAATACCTTGGGTTAAGTAAACAAAGACTTCTGTGGTATTAATCAAAAGCACAAATGACAAAAGAAAAAAATAGATAAAAGGAACTTCAGCAAAATTAAACATGCTGTAAGTGTTACCATCAACAGAATGAAAAGACAACTCATAGAACAGGAGAGAGTATTTGCAACTCCCATCCTAATTAAGAGTCTTTGCTGTGAAATGTATTTTCATGTATTTATTTGTCACTTGTATTTCTTCCTCTGAAAAGTGTGTATTCATTTTTAGATTGGCTCTTTAAATTTTGGGGGTCGAATTTTTTTTAGTTCTTTATATAATTTAGATAGAAGTCCTTTGTCTGAGTGATTTTCTTCTCTATTTCTGAGTTGTCTTTTTACCCTGTTGGTGATTTCTTTTAATATGCAGAAACTTCTGAATAAGATGAGATCCCAGTTGTTGATTCTTTGCAGGATTTCCTGTGTATTTTAGTTTTTGTTCTTGAACTGTCTGCCTACCCCTATATCTTCCAGATTTCCACCTACTTTCTCTTTCAGGAGATTTAGTTTTTCTGTTTTAATGTTTAGATCTTTAGTCCACTTTGACTTTAGTTTAGTGCATGGTGATAGACCCAGGTATAGTTTTAGTTTTAGGTATGTGGAGAGCCAGTTTTTCCAGTACCATTTGTTAAAGAGGTTATCTTTCTTCCACTGAACATGTTTGGTCCCTTTGTCAAAGTTAAGATGGATGAGTGTAAAATGCAAAGAAACTGAACTTAAGGATTAAACAACAAAAATGAGAGAAAGGAAAAAAAGAAAGGAGGGGAAAACATGTAAATAAATATACAGGATGGCTAAGATGATTGTACTCATAATTTCCATCAGTTTTTTGAAAAGAGCAGTTAATGTTTAGAATTTTCACCTTGACTAACTCTGTATGCTGATATCTGCAATCTGAGCTAATACATCGAGGACAGCAATGTGTAATACAAAACCCATGGTTGAATACCTCTTATTTTGATATTCTAAATGTGTACCATCTCTAATGTCTTATCAATTATTATACTCTCTTTAAAATAAAACAAAAAAACACAAAGATTTCTTGAAAGCAAGCACCAATATTCAATTATTACCCCAATTTTGCATATCTGTCAATCCGAGCAACAGATTTGACAATAAAATACATAATATTGCATCATTTTTTGTTTTTGTATTTTTAGGAAAGGGGCTACAGGATGTTCAGGGTCTCACTACTAGATTGGACTCATAGTGATCCACCTGTTTACAGCCTCCCAAGAGCTGGGATTACAGACGTGTGCCATCACACCCAGTCTCAATTGCCCTCTCAGCACACCCCAGGGGCGGGGCTGGAGGGCAGGCCTGGGGATCTAACCCCTGGTCATTGTGCCTGCCTGCAGGCACTTCTGTCCACTGAGCTATTTGGCCAGCCCAATATAACAACCATTGTTAATTAGCTATTCCTGTTTTGAAATTCTGTAACATACGTATTGTTGTATGTTACCCTGTTCCATCTTTTTTTTTCTGTTTTTGCTTGTTTTTACTCTTCAAAATTAAATTAAATTAAATTAAATTAAATTTAAAAAGAGTCTTGCATAGAGAATATAAAAAGAACTGTTCAATCTTAACAATTATAGGAGAGGAACAAGGCAAGAGAATGATGAAAAGGAAAAAATTCAACAACTAAAAAGATAATCAGCTTGATGAAAAACGGACAAAGTTGGAGAAACCTAGCAAACACCACTTTCACCAATTGATCTAATTTAACATTACCAGGAATCACACAAAGATATTGTGTATTCCCTATAAGGTACTGAGAAAGATGCAGTATCTCTTTGACCCAAAATGTGTCACATGAGTATACCCACAAGTAAACAGCAAACAATTCCAAATCAAAGGACCATAAAACACATATTGTCTGTACTCTTTGAAAGTATTAAATCAAGAAAGATAAAAACTAATGATGTACTCTTCTACTTAAAAGGAAGCTATGCAGACATGACAAGAAACTGCAACATGTGATCATGGATTGAACTGTGGATGAGCAGGAAAAAATAGTTTTCCTATAATAGGCTTTAGAGAGGTAATAAGGAAAATCTGTATATGGTTTATAGATTATAATATATCCATCTTAATTCACAATAACTACTGCAATTATATAATGACATATCTTTGTTTTTAGAATGTGTACCAAATTATTTAGAAATAACGCAGCATATGTTTATAACTCACTCTTAAATAGTTCAGAAATAAGCCCCATATACATACAAAAATGTAAAAAAATGATAAAAGGTTAATACTGGTGAATAAAGAGTCTGGCAGTTTCTCAAAAGGTTAGAGTTACCATAACACCCAACATTTTGACGCTAAGAGAAATAAAAGCATATGTTCTCACAAAAACTTGCACGTGTATATTCACAGAAGTAAAATTCATATAGTCTAAAAACGGAAACAAACAACACTGGTGTTTATCAATTGATGAACAGATAAATACAATGTGGCACATTAATACAATGGAATATCATTCAGTCACAATGCACCAATAATATATTAGTATAGCACATGGACGAACCTTGAAAGCACTATGCTCAGTGGAAAAAACAAGTCACAAAAGACCACACATTTCATGACTCCATGTATTCACAATGTCTAAAATGGGCATATCGAGAAAAGAGAAAAAAGAGAATGGTGTTTACACAGCACTTGCGTTATGGGAGTGAGTTTGGTGGAAATGGGGAGTAACTGCTTATGAATATTGGTTTTCTTTGAAGGAGTAATGAAAATATTCTAAAATTAAAATGTGGTAATGACTGAAAATTCTGTAAAAACAATAAAAATTGAGTTGTAGTCTGTTGCAAGGTGTGTGGATTATATCTCAAAGCTATAAAAATAATTTTCTATAGATTAAAATTTCAAGAAAGTTAGTAAAACAACTATTTTTCACAACAAAGGTCCTTTGAAAATGATTCACTATTGATTTCAATTGCCTGAATCAGCCACTGACTCACCTGGTACACTGGTTTTGTGTTGAGAAGTAGATTTGAAAGTCATCATAATTATTGTAGACATAAAGAAAACAACAGCGTTCATCCAAATTGGCAAGGCTACAATTAAAAACAAAGTTTATACATAAGAAATGGTAATAATTTTTAATTTTTGAGAAAATATAGTAATAGATCTTCTTCCATTTTACAAATTCCTGATTTGTTAATCTTTTAACAAACACCCCAAAAATTTGCCCTTCAGTTCTGTAAGAAATTTCAATACCAGGGATATTAATCTTGCTTATGTTTGAGCTGGTATTGATCAACTGACTTTAATGTGCATCAAGAACTTACTCTATACTCCCTGCTAAGCTAAACATATGGGCAACAGAAAAGGGTATAAATGTGGTCTCTATCCTCTAGGAGTATGAAATCTCAAAAAAGGCAAGAATTTGTGAAGTAATTTATTATAATATCAAAGGCATTTCTAGATTTGGAAAATATCAGGACATGGTATTTGTGGTCATACAAAGTACATAGAAATAAACACTTCAGTTTAGCTCAAGAGAGGCCTTTAAATGCAATCTGGAACATCTCCACCTTATATCTGGACCTGACTCTACAGTATCTCAAACAAAGAGCATTCAATTTGCCTGAACATAGCCAGTGAGAAAATGTCATCACACTCCATCTGCTGGTAGATTCGCTATTAGAAATTTCATCAATCACACTCAGCCAAAGCCTGCATGATGGTCCTCATTCTGACAGGTGGCACTATGCAGAATCAAGATAGATTGATTCTCTTCTATGACTAGATCTCCAAACAAATGAAGCCACTTTACCAGGCCTCTTCTAAGTCATCTCTTCTGAGACCAAACACTTCTACTCTTTATGGTATAGATGACAGGACAAAGTGTTGAAACAGCAATCATCAGTGTAGTTAAAAATAATCACCATTAGGTTACCAGTCGTCCAGTGTGATTAGAAATAATTAAAGCTAGCTTATACATGATTAAGCACTAAAAACCAATCTAAAGAAACTCACAGTTCATTAGACAGTAGTGCCCAAATCATGCCCCTCATGTCATATCAGTATCAAGTTCTGAGTCAACTCAAGCCCTTGGTTGAAATTGCAGCTAGAGGGGTCACTTTAAGAGGTACAGACAGAAGGTTCCTGACTACATGTTTTGTACTTCATCACCAAGTAATACAGTTTTGAAAATATTCAATAGTTTTTGATGACCTTGTAATTTTGGGGCAGTATTATCCAAATTTACCACGTTACTTTCATTACTTCCCTCACAAATTCACCATTTTACTCTTATCATTAGTCCATTTGATTTTTTCAATTTTCATTCATTAGTATATTTGCAGTACATAATGGTTACATTCCTAGTGGGTAGTTAGCTGTACTGTATCTGGAAGTAACTGAGGATTCCTTCAGAGCCTGGAGGTAGCATTAGAATCAGAGAAAGGACAGAAAGATCTAGTCCAAGCTCCTGATTTGATTTAAGAAAAGAGAAGAAACTGAGAAGCTGGAGTGGCGGGGTGACTTCCCAATGTCACACATGCAGTATTAGAAGTCACATCTATTTCAGAGCCACTCCTAACCTTGGACATGCTTGAAGGGTGAAGAGTACAGTTAAGGTATACCTGTACTTGGGAAAAGCTGTATTTAGATTTAGCTCTGCTTGGGGAAAGACACAAATGGTCACTATTCTTGATCCAAAAAGCAAGCACCACACTTCTCGGAATACCATCTCTTATCCTCCCTTATATTAAATACCCTGCTCCACTGCTTTTCTAGGAGGCCCCACCAAAGTGCCATTCATAATAAATAACTCCTGGATTCAGCTTGTGGGGGCCCTGAGAATTTGGACATTTCTGGTCCAAGGAAGATAAATTTTCTCTTTCTCTCTCTCTTTTTTTTTCAGTATTAGGGATTGAACTCAGGACCCTGTGTTTGCCAGGCAGATGCTTATTCTACTGAGCTTTCTCCCCAGCCCCAAACATTTTCCTTTTAAGGATGCATTTTTAAGTTTGAGACAAGAGAGTTTCTTCTGCTAGACATGATAAAAGTTACTCTGTCCTAACAAACCAAGGCACTTTCACTGGTTGCACAATATAAACCTTGGGCAGAGAAATAAAAATAGAAAATACTCTGTTTTGGGCTCCATTAAAAATAAGAATACTGGGGCCGGGGAGATGGCTCAGTGGAATAAGCACTTGCCTGGCAAGCACAGAGGCCTGAGTTCAATCCCCGGTTCTACCAAAAAACAAAACAAAACTAAACTAAAAATAAGAATATCATCTTGGTCTTCTAAATGTGTACTGTTGGGGACAACCTGCTCGTGTCCCCCTCCTACCCTTCTCTTGGAAGGAGCTTTCTTTTCCTCAATAAATATATTCTTCTCATAAAAAATAAGTGTGTACTGTTTTTAATGTCTTATCAATTATTATTATACTCTATAAAATAAACTTTAAAAAAGTAAAAAAGAAAAAAATTAAAGTTTCTTGAAAGCAAGTGTTAATAATCAATTATTTTTCAGTCTTACATAACTATTTCCATTATCTGAGTAACAGATTTGATGATAAAAATAGATAATTTAACAACCATTGTTAATTAGCTATTCTTTTGAAAATCCACTAACATTTGTATGGCTATATGTTGCCCTGTTTCCGTCTTTGTTTCTGCTATTTGGTTTTACTTTTGTTTTTATTCTTCAAAATAACATAAAATAGAATTGGAAAACAAAGAATATCACATCTTATGAATAAGTAGAAACAATAACGTATGTAAAACATTATCATTTTAATTGGGTATGGTGGTGTACACCTGTAATCCCAGCACTGCTGGGAGGGTGAGGCAGGAGCCAAGCCTGGGTAACTTAGTGAGACCCTTTTGCAAAAGTAAAAAATAAATTAAAAAGAGCTTAAGATACAGCTCAGTGTGAAAGCCCTGGGTTCAATCCTGACTACCACAAGACAACAACAGTAGCAGATTATCATTATTATTTGTATTAAAGTAATAGTTAAATTTTCTTTTTACCTTATTCCCCTGATAGCAGAGGCTTTAAAATGCCATTCACTGATGCGTATCTGCAGATATCAAAGACAGAAATTAGTGGCTCAATTTTTCTAGAGATCATTTTTAAAGATTCTTTTTATGATCAATCATTTTTGCTATTTAGAGGTTAGAACAATACACTTAGTACAACTTGGGACACTAGAGACACTTCCTATTGTATATGAAAATTCACTAGTAATTCTAATCCAGTTTAGAGCACACAATATAAATTTAAAATAATAACTTGAGATAGAAATAAGCACCCAATAGATACACATTGAACAGCCTCTCACCTTTTGTCAGTACTGTAGCCAAACTCTAAAACACATTCGTAAATAGCCCACCTAAGTTGAATAACCCACAAAAATATTTGGAGAACCATTAACTGTGACAGATACTATTCACTGTTCATTATTCATCATTTCCTTTTATCCCTGAGTACATATCTAAATTACATTTTTTCCAGCCTCTTTCAAAGTTAGATGAAGCTGTATGACAGAGTTCTGACCAAAGGGTTGTGGGCAGTAGTGGTATGCACCACCTGCACGCCTGGTTTGTAGAAACCTCCACAGCACTCCCCTACTTTCTTTTTCTCCAGCAACTGATGGAGTAGGGCTTCCTGCCAAACAGGCTATAATACAAAGCATAGATAATTTATTGTATTAAGACATTAAGATTTGGCAGATGTTTGTTGTAGCAGTTGGCCCACCATGACTAATAGAAAAATCTGAGATTTCTATCTGCACCTATATACTTAAAAAAATGAAAATAACTCTGTCCCTCCCTCTATTTCCTTTCCTTAAATTTTGCACAAAGCTAAGCCACAGAAGACTATCTAAAATCTAGTTTCAGAAAAGCTACCAGCTATACCACCTATAAATCACAAATGTAGAAAATAACTTTAAATAGGAAAATTCATTTGACTTCATGTTGCTTGAAAATGAACATACGGAGTATTTATTCCATGGAAATATACAAACACTGGAAATCAGCTCACATGGAAAATCAGCTTGCACCCCAGAGAGTGGGTTGTTCAATATTTACTATCAGACTACTGTATCCTTATTGCCAATGAGTGTTTCAATCTTTGGTTAAAATATTAGGGACTTAGTCTCATTTTGTAGTGATGCTGCATGAAGTTGTATACATGTGTGTGTATTCGCCTCCCACTATCGCCAGGAAAAAATGCAACTTTATAGGAAAATGAGATCTCCCTCAGGGAAAATCTTGTTTGTCACACCATGTGGAATTTCAAAATTATAAATGAAGTTACCCGTGAAGATTCATTTCAAAGAAAAAGGCAACAACTATGAACACTTGTGCAAAGCATTTTATCCATCAAGGAAAACAAGTATTTGTGACTTAAAGAGTTCTTTTCCATTTGTTATTACAAACTGTATACAAAGTAAAACATTTGCATCTAGTAAAACATCATATGTACCAATAGATATTTCTATTAAGATCCAGAAACCATTACAGGATTCAAAATAGTAGAATGTCAGCAGATCAAACTGGTAGAACATGATAAGCTCAAAATCATTTTGCTTTAAAAGTATGAAGAGTCACTTTAATACCATTAGTTTTTCCATAGCCACTTGTAAAAATGAATTATTTTCTATCTCTGTCAATGAAATAGAAATTACAGATTCAAATTTTGAAAATTTTCTTTTATGACAGTGGCATCAACAACACAAACAAAGTAAATAAGGTTGCTATCTGGCATTGGAACTTGTGAAGTGAGAACAGGGTGTTCTGTGGAGTTGGTATCTGGAGGCCTGCACAAACTGAGTAGGAGCAATATCTGCAAACTTTTTCTTCACATGCATTGGCTACTGAAGTGAGTTCACCTTGTAAAACTCCACCGAATTATACATTTATGATTTATGCAGTTTTACATGTGCATATTATATGGATGGAATATCCTTATCTAAAATGCCTGGGTTCAGAAGTATTTCAGATTTTGCAGCTTTTCAAGATTTTATAGCATTTTGCTGAGCATGGTGGTGCATGCCTGTAGTCCCAGTACCCAGGAGGCTAAGGCAGGAGTATGTGATTTTGAGGCCAGCCTGGGATACATAGTGAGTTTAATACCAGCCTGATCTACATAGCAAGACTAGGTCTCAAAAACAAACAAAAAATGATCTTGTAGTATTTGCTGGTTGAGCATCCCTGATCTGAAAATCTGAAAACTGAAATGCTCCAAAATCCAAAACCTTGTGCACATTGCCGTTGAAAAGGTTTCAGATTTTGGAGCACTTCAGATTTTTGACTTAGGGAAGCTCAATCTTTACTGCAATAACAGATATATTTTTAAAAAAACAGTTAAAAGATAAGATCATTCTTCTTAGATTTATCTGTATGAATGCCATGTATGTACTTTATTATAGTTTTCTCTTTTACACCCAAATATTTAATGGACACAGTTCAGGGAAAAAACACAAATACATCACCACAGTTCATTCACACTAATGGCTGTTGACTCCATTTCCAATATGAAGATTATTCACATGTTAATATTGGACAATATTACTGGCCTTCACCTGAGATACCATGATTATTGATAAGTAGTCTTTAATGTGAATTTAAGCCTTTGTTTGGTCCTACAATACTGCAGTTTCATTTTTAAAGATATTATTTATTTTTACCTGATGACAACATAACTTTACACTCTTTGCTTTCAGAAAGAAAGATTATCTTCCCTTGCCACGTTAATAGCAAAAATCTTCCCATACTCCATGGAAATACATGCATCACAAATAAGTCTATCTAAACTACTTTTCAAAGGTACTATGGTTCTTTATTACTGCAAAATTTTTTAAATTATTTTAAAAATTATTTATTTATTTATTTATTTCATGCAGGGTCTTACTATGTAGCTCAAACTTGTAGTGATCCTCCTATCTCAGCCTCCTCAGCACTAGGATTACAGGCATGCACCATCCTGCCCAGTTTCAGGGCCAGCATGGTATACCAGGCCCAATGCAGCATGTGGTATCGGGGATTGAACCCAGGTCCTTGTGCTTGCCAGGCTTAGACCACTGAGCTATTATCTTCCTAGTCCAATTGCAAAATTTATTTTAAAAATTAAGTACTTTTATCACTATCACTATAAAACTTTAGATCCACTCGAGAACTTCTGCAATCTAACAGGAAATTACAACCTCTCATCTCCTGTATTCCTTTTTTTTTTTTTCCCCAGAACTGGGGATTGAACTCAAGCCCTTGCACTTGCCAGGCAAGAGCTTGTTCCGCTGAGCCATTTCCCCGGCCCTTCCTGCATTCCTCATACAAGGGCAGACTGGAATGGTTTGAATTTGACAGTAACTTTTTGTTTGTTTGTTTGTTTTGGGGGGGTGGTACTGGGGATTGAATTCAGGACCTTGCATTTGCCAGGCAAGTGCTTATTCCACTGAACTAACCCCCAGCCCTGACAGTAACTTTTTGAAAAAGAAAAATGTGATAGTAACTATTAGAAATTTAAGCACAAATACCCTTAGGTCTAACAAGCCTATTTTGAGGAATCTCTGCTCGTAAATGCTTCTATAAACATGGGAAGATGGAGCCACCAGGATGAAAACTGGCTTATCACTGGCAAGAGTGGAAAATGGATTGAAATATGCATCAGTAAGAAAGAGGTGAAATATAGTTCATCTATGCCGGGAAATACATTATATGACAGGAACTATGATATTTAAGAAATCAGATGGGTCAGTGTGTACTGTATGTAAAACTGTTCATGATGTATGGATGAATTAAACATAATTGCAAAACAATAAATATATGACTTACACTGTAATATAAATGTCTATGATACATATACATTATATGTGTGTAAGTGCTTTTAGAGAAAGGATACAGGCATATCCATCAAATAGCAGAGACAAGGTTTGAAAAGTATGGAGGTACTTTCTCCATGTATCTTAGTTCCTTATTGTTTAGCTTAAAAACAAACCAAACTGTATTTTTTTAATATTTGTACTGATTCTATATGAGCACACCCAAATAAACCTCCCTGATTGTATATACAAACATACATGAAAATGGAAACTCTTTCTTTCATTTGTGAGAATATCTTGTCATACAGTCCCATAATTTGAAAATTTTGCATAGATGCCTATTCATTCCAATACTTCCACATAGACTCTCCTACTAGAAAATCAAATATTTGATTAAATACAGAAGAAAAAGACTTGATTATGATTTTTTTCCCTTACCGTTTCTATGGGGAAGATATGCCATAAAGATACTGTTCTCTCTTCAGCTTCATTGTTGATAGACACATAAGAAGGCTGGTAGGTATCAGTGCCTTCTATCACCAGAACCTAAAATAAGAACAAATTCTTTTAACACATAGAAATCTAAAACAGGTGATTTCACCCAGTGAGAAAGTGGGAAGACATACTCAACCAATACTCATGGAAGACCAACTATGTCAAATATGACTCCAGCAGTTGGATACAGCAAAACACACAAGGCCCTGCTGGGGCAGGGCTATGCTCCAATGGGGCAGATAGAGCAGCAAAGAGATAAGACTATGCAGTCAAATGTCATGTAGTGCTCTGAAGAGAATAACAGAGAAGACAGGTAGATGGATGCCATGTGTGTTATTTCTTCACACAGGGTAGCCAAGAAAGGCCTGCCTGAATTGATGACAGAAAAAAGAGGGAAGCTATCACTTTTGAAAGAAGAAGGAAGTAGACTTAGCTATCAAGTCTGTATAAATGAAGGGAAATGAAGAGTGCCATTTCCATCTGTAAGGTATTATTTGGTTATAAGAAAAAGGGGAAAGGAGGAGGGAAAGAGAGAAGATGGCAGGTGGAGAGGTGGGAAGAGAATAAAAGGGAAAGAATGAATAAATCTCCACAATAAAACAACTTCTGTTTTCGGTACTGGGAATTGAACTCAGGACTTTGCTTGTGCTTGCAAAGCAGGCACTTGCGCCCTTGATCTCTATCTCCAGTTCTAAAACAACATGTTTAAGACTGCTAAACGTGAATACAGCTTACACGAATCTCTGTTTTGTTACTGGTTTGTTTCTTGCAAGTTTGAAATATTTCAAAATGAAAAGAAGATTTTAAAGTTTACTACTCTGGAACAAAATAATTATCATAATCCTTTCCAACAACTCAATTTTTCATTAAATATTTAATGAAATTCTTCTATTTTTTTTTTTTTGGCAGAACCAGGGATTGAACTCAGGCCCTTGTACTCGCCAGGGAAGTGCTTATTCTACTGAGCCATCTCCCCAGCCCCTGAAATTCTTAAAAACTGCATGATTACAAAATCTCATGGCATAAATATGAAGCACAATTATTGAAGGGCAATTTTCATGACACTTAAGGTATGTATTTATACCTTATCAGATGGTCACAAATTGAAACAAAAATTCAATGATAAGCTACAAGCAAAAAAAAAAAAAAAGTAAAAAAAGGGCCGGGGAGATGGCTCAGTGGAATAAGCGCTTCCCTGGCAAGTGCAAGGGTCTGACTTCAATTCCCAGTTCCGGAAAAAAAAAAGCTACAAGAAGTTCTGATTTTTCAATAAAATTTTAAATATTAATTAGTGGCATGGGAAGCAAATCAAAGCTTAACTGGAGGAAGCTTTAAATTCTATGTTTTCACTACTAGCACTGTATTTTTCTAGAGAAAGAGTTTTCCACCTTGGCCCTATTGACAATTTGGCCTGGATAATGCTTTATTGTAGGAACCGTAAGTTATAGGATATTTAGCAGCATCTGTGGTCTCTACCATACTGGTAGCCAGAAGCATTTCCTTCTCCCCTTTTGTACCAACCAAAGATGTCTCCAGTCACTGCCAATGTCCCATGAGAGACAAAATCATTCTCAACTGAGAACTGATTTGAGAAGATGTGACCATCTTCTTTTTTCAGGGAGTTCATCTATCACTTGCTGATTCTACATAGGACTGATGGCTATTTTAACATTTCAAATTATGGTTTTTGAGAGGATCCAACATGGCTGAGTAGATGCAGCTTCCCCTCTGAGATGCTCAGAGAAGATTCACTGAGAACAAAAGTATTCTGAAGTGCAGGAAGAGCTTACATCCTGAAATGGAAAACTAATAGAAAAGACAATATATGCAGAACAAACCAAACTACTGAATAGTTGAAAAGGGGAAGCAGTGCTGCCATGTCTGGGTTGTTTACCCCCACTTTCTGCTCCTCTAGGGAGCATCTATCCTGATTGTCACGAATAGTGTAAGGAACCAAACTAGTACTGCAGAGGTCTGTACACAGGGCCCTTGTTCCTAAACCTGTCTTCAAACACTGGAGAACGCTGCATTCCCATGGCATCCTCTTCAGTGCTTACTACAGGCCAGGATAGCCTTCCCTCCCCATAGAGTATGGCCAGAGAGGAGAAATAGGCAAAAGGCTCCCTAGCAACCTCTGCTCAGTTAGAGTGGCTCACGTGCTTGTCTGCTGAGTCACTGGCGCAAATACCCAGTCCACCTGGCACCTGCCCTGCATGCCCACTTGCTGGCTAAGCTATAGGCACACATGCACACCTACTGGCTGAGTCCACCTTGCATCTGCCTTGTTTGCCAGCTTTCGACCCAAATCACTCCATGCCCACCCATGGAGTTCACTTGTGGTGACCCAAAATCAGATAGTAACTAGGACAAACAGGGAATTGTGTGGACAATTTCGTTTATGGCATAGTGGGCATGAAAGAATTGCATGTAGGATCTTTTGTTGGAGTGGAGCTGGGGCCCCTATTTAATTTTTGTTTGTTTCATTTAGCTGCTGTTTATTTTCTCTTTCCTCATCTCCCTATACCTTTTAACTCTAGCATCTGTAGCATCACTATTTTATTTTTTATCTGCTTCTCTCACTTTTAAAATTCTTCATTTCAAGTTAATTTTTTCCCTAGAGTTCACTGTCCCTTAGATACATACATTTGGGATTTTGGGAACAGGGTCTCACTGTGTAGGTCTGGCTGTTCTTGGCTATGTAATCCAGGGTGGCCTCAAACTCACAACACTCCTCCTGCCTCAGCCTCCCAAGTGCTGGGATTACAAGTGTGCGCCACCATGCCTGGCTACCATCATATGTCATATTAATCTTTCATTTTATCTATTCTATTTCTTTTGTTCTTCCTTATTCAACCTAGCCCCTTGTCTTCCCTGTCTCTTCTCCAACTTATAGGTACAAAATTAAACCAACGGGTTCTGACAACCTTGCAGCATTCCTTAATCCTTAATTATACATCCCTCTTCCTCTTCCATCCTACCCTGTGCCCTCACAAGTATCTTCCCCAAACCCTCAACATTAACTTTTCATCATGAACTAGAAAAGAACTCTAACACAATCTGACTTCAGATCTATTTTTTAAATCTTTACATGTTATTATTTCTCCTATTTACCTCCTCCTGACTTCCACTCCATTCTCACACATTCCATCTCTCCCTTTCACTTCTCCTTCCCCACTGTATACTACCCACTGATAAAACAGTACATGCAGTAAAAGCTATTGACAAAGGGTGGCAGTATAAATGGAGGGTTTAACTCATATGAGTGATGTTTGATCAGATCTGCTAATGCTGCTATAACCAATAGCAACTCCCTCCTTACAACACAGTGACAGGATTCGAACCATCTGAATTAAGTATCAAAAGGGGTAAATAATATCTCTGGACAAGGAAACTAATGAACATATCACTAGAAGGAAAAATCTAGCTAAAAAGATGTTCCCATTAAATATAATCTCTCTTTGCTGTACATGATCTCAAACCTTGGCATGTGTAGACACACAAATATACATACACATGGGAACATGGAATGGAGGAAACAAAAGGCTCTCAAGTTCTCCCAACTCACTCAGGTTAGATCTAGGGGGGCAACAATGGAGAAGAAAGCAAACATCAGGTAGCGGAAGTTTATGAATTGACTAAAGAAAGAGTAAAGAAACTTGACAAGTTTAAAGAAAACATGACCCACAGTTCATGGAATTATCATACAAAATGACCAATGTGGATATGGAATACACAAATAAAAAATTGGAAGAGCTGGGCCGGGGAGATAGCTCAGTAGAAAAAGGGCTTGCCTGACAAACACAAAGTCCTGAGTTCAATCCCTGGTACTGAAAAAAAAATGGAAAAGCTGCCCAAAATAGTTTAAAAATGAGTCCCGTACAGCGCAACACAACACCATGGCTTTACTTCTTATATTTCGTTTTTATACTTTTCTGCTGGATAGTCCTGCCAGTCAAGCGGAAGACCCAATACTATTATGGATTACTGGACTCTTTTAGAATATTTTGCTGAGTTAACACACCTATAATATTCAAATGACAGAACTATACAAAAAAGCGGATATATAAATGAATGTCCATTTTGTATCTGTGTATTCAAAATGGTTAGGATAGCTATATAGTTACATTCTCCTAATAAATAGAGGGAATTGTTCTAATGGTGTCTGCAAATAGGATATCAAGTCCGCATCTTGTACAGCAAATAACCACTAGGAAGAGAGTATGCAATGTGTTAATTATTGAAACTGTCCTACCAATTTGATTTGAAACTGTCTCATTGCTGTTTGTCTCTCAATAAAATTATGGGAAAAGAAAAAATATTTTAAAAAACAAAAAACAAAATAGTTCAAAAATGAATGACAGGGCTGAGGAGATAGCTCAGTACAGTAAGCACCTGCCTGGTAAGCACAGAGTCTTGAGGTCAATCCCTGGTACCACACACAAAAAAAATGACAAATTTACCAAAGACACAGATTCCATAAAAAGATATGAAACAGAAATACTGGATATAAAAAAATTATGTATCATTTATAAATTGCAGAAATGACCAATGTACAGACAGTGTTTTGCAAATCGAATAGAAAATGGTAAATTATAGCAATAGAGAAGTCCTAAAAATATTAACAGAACAAAAAAATTCATTCAATAGTTATTAAATGACACCAAGAAAATCAACCTAAAGCTAACTAGATTTAGAGAAAAACTAGAAGAGAGCACACATGGAATACAAAATTTATTTATAGAAATTACAATAAAAAACTTTCCAGATATGAGGAAAAAGTTTAGCATACAGGTAATGGAGGCTTATAGAACAACAACCAGCTTCAATAAAAAGAATCCCGCCACAACACATTATAATTAACATTCCAGATGCATAACAACAGCAGCAACAACAATAAAAACCCAGAATTTTAAAAGCTGTCAGAAAAAGCAAAAAAAAAAAAAATCATATCACAAGGTAAAGCCCTAAGAATTACAGCATATTTCTCTACACAAATTTTAAAGGCCAGTAGAGCCAGGAGCAAAGCCCTAAAAGCAAACAACTTTCAATCCAGATTGACATATCTGGCAAAATTTGCTTTATAACTGGATGGAGAAGAATATTCCATGTAAAAGAACAACTCAGAGATCTATGAACACCAAATAAACACTCCAGGAAATACTTAAGAATATCCCAGACAGAGACAAAACCAACAAAGCCAAAAATGCAAATAGAATGAATACATCCAGCAAGGTAAATACTGTTGGACATAAAAATCCAATAAACTCTAACACAATCATAACGGGTATTATGGTAACTAGATGTACCCCTAAAGACTCATGTAGTCATATCTAAAGTGCACCATCCTACAATAGAATACACATTTTTCTCAGCAGCACAAGCAACTTTCTCCAAAATAGATTATATACTCATCCACAAAGCCTGCTTAAATATAAAAAACAAAATCACTTCATATTTAGAGCAATGTATGTTAAAACTAGAAATCTACCACAGAAGAAACCACAGAAAATTTAGAAACACCAGGAAACTTATAATACACTCCTGAATACCCAGTGGGTCACAGAAGAAATTAAACAATTTCTGGAATCAAACAATGCCAGTACAACACAACAGAGCCCATGGGAACCAATGAGATTAATCCTAAGAGGGAAGATTATTACAAGCAATGCGCACATTAGAAAAAGAGTGAGCTCAAATAAGTAAACTAAAGATAACCTATATAATCAAAGAATAACAACAATCCAAGCCAAATATGAATTTAGGAGGAAATAAAAAAAGATCAAAGTCAAAATTAATGAAACTGAAACAATAACCACAACAAATACAATTCAGAGAATCAAAGAATTAAAAAGCTGGTTCTTTGAAAAAAAATAAACAAATAGATAAACCCTTAGCCAAACTTACCAAAAGAAAGAGAAGACTCCTATCAATGTAATTGGAAATAAAAAGGCGATATCACAATGGATACCACTGAAATCCAGAAAACAGTAACTACAATGAAAAATTATAAAATCTTGAAGAAATGGACAGATTCCTAGATTCATGAATTACCAAAACTAAACCAAGAAGACATAAACATTTAAAATGATCCAATAACAAGCAATGAAACTGAGGCAATAATTAAGAAAAGCCCAAGACTTGATGGATATACTGGTGAATTCTACCAAATCTTTAAGGATGTTATATCACCAGTACTTTTCAATTTCTTCAATAAAATTGAAAGGGAAGAAATTCTAAACTCATTTCTGGAAGCCAGCATCACTCAGATCCCCAAACCGGACAAAGAACGAACTAAAAAGGAAAACTATCAGCCCATCTGAGAAATAAATTTGGGAAATGATATCACTCACAACAGCATTAAGAAAAATTAAATAGTGATGAATTTTAACCTAACCAAGGAAGTAAAGACCTCTATGATGAACACTATAGTACTCTGAAAAACAAGGTTGAAGAAGACATCAGAAAATGGAAAGATGTCCCTATTCCTGAGTAGGTAGATTTAATATTGTCAAAATGGTCATACTACCAAAACTAACATATAGATTTAAGACAATCACAATCAAAATACTAATAGCATTCCTCACAGAACTAGAGAAAACAATCTTAAAATTTTTATGGAATCAGAAGAGATTTAGATTACCAAAAGCAATCCTGGGCAACAACAGCAAAGTAGGAAGCATTAAACACCTGACTTCAAGTCATTCTACAGAGCTACAGTGATTGAAAAGGAGGGGGCATTGTATTGGCACAAAAACAGACACAAGGATCTGTGGAACAGAATGGAGGATGCAGAAACTTCCCCAGACACATACAGCTATTTGATCTTCAACAACGAGGGAAAAAAACCTACTTTGGAGGAGAGATGACATATTCAGCAAAATGGTGCTGAAAAAACTATATGCAGAAGGTTAAATCTGGACCCATTATCTCTCATCGTGTACTAAACTATAACAAAAGTGGATCAAAGATCTAGACACTAAAACAGAAATGACCTACTGGAAGTTAAAATAGGTAAAACTCTTCAAGTCATAGATATAGGCATGGAATTTCTCAAACTACACAGCAAGAAGAAAAAAATGGGAACTTCAACTGCACAGCAAGAAGAAAAAAATGGATTATATCAAAATTCAAAAGTTGGGGCTGGGGAGATGGCTCAGTGGAATAAGCGCTTCCCTGGCAAGCGCAAGGACCTGAGTTCAATCCCTGGTTCCACCAAAAAAAAAAAAAAAAAAAATTCAAAAGCTGCAAAAAAAATCAGCAAAAGAACAAAGATACAACATACAGAATAGAAATAAATGTTTTCCAGATATTCCTGAGAAAACTAATAGCTAGAATATATAAAGAACTCAAAATACTTCAACCACCTAAAATAAAAGACCCAATAAAAAATGGGCAAGCGAAATGAACATACATTTTCAGAAGAAATAAAAGCAGCCAATAAACATATGAAAAAATGTTCCACATCTCTGGCCATTAAAGAATTGCAAATGAAAACAATGCCAAGGTTTTGCCTTATACCAGAAAGCATGGCAACCATCAAAAAGTCAAATAGTAACAAATGTCATGGCTGCAGTGAAAAAACATTAGTATAACCATCATGGAAATCAATATGGCGATTTGTCAAATAACTAAAACTGAAATTCCACTTAACCCAGCTATTTTCTCTCTAGGTATGTTTCTAAGAAATCTATAGACATATTACATATAT